CACACACACACATATGCACACACGCATACATGATATGCCTCTTTGTGCCCGCCGCCCTCCCGCTCCTGCCCGAGAGATGGTTAACAATAAACGCTATTTACAGGTCACTTTTAATCGCTTCAGGTCCCCATCTGAAACTCCTGAAAGGACTTGAAGTAGCTGAAACTTTTGAAAAGGGTTTCGGGTACCCCCATCCAAATGGTTGGATGGGGGTACCTGAAACCCCTTTCGGAGGTTTCAGTCACTTCATGTCATTACTGCGGTTTCATGTCCCCACCTGAAATTCCTGAAATGACATGAAGTGGCTGAAACTTTTGAAAGGGGTTGTTATTGTGGCTGAGGAAAATCGGATGAATCTACCGCAGAACGCGGTTACGTTCCAGGCGTGGGTTTTGTAACCTTGTACTTGAGTTACGAGGGACTTTTTGCACACGTCTGGGAGGGCGAGTCATTTTTTGGTGGTCGAACGAACTTCTGCGGCATCGTTTGGGCACTCCAGTCGTCTCTCTTGGTGAGCCTACACGACAGGTTACTAACCGCAGGCAACGGTCATGACTGTCGGGTTTCAGAGAGAGAGAGAGAGAGAGGAAAAAAAAAAAAAAAAAGCTTTAGAGTCGCGCCTGTACCAGGCGCCTTTTCATCCCAGATACAGGTGCAGGGCAAGGGAAAGAAGCCCCTGTTGAGTTTGACTCTGGTTTACTCTCTGAGGGGCGGCCGTTCATTTTGAGCGTTGAGTTGCCCCTACACTGGAAAACGAGATGGTAAAAAGAAAAAAAAAACAAAGTAACGGCCACGTATGTGGCCGTGGCCGCGGAACAGGTGCAGCCCCATAAAGTTATAGGGACTGATGAGATTGCGCCTGTTCGTTTTGAACAGGAAGCAGTAAAATGGCTAGGTACAACCATTTCCAGGAGCACCTGGCCTGGAAAAACGACCAGGTACTTTTGGGGATTGAAGACCTTGGTTCTCTTCAGGGAGAAGGGGAGAACCAAGGTTCTGAGCTCTGGGCCATCGATTTAGATCGAGGATCAGGAACACCCACATTTTGTCTGACTGTGGGCAAAGCAATCGCCCACATGCCTTCAACTGGCTATAAAGGTCAGCACTCCACCCAACAAGCTCACATTTGTGGCAGTGCTGCTGGGACATTCACTTAGGTGAATGTTGGTTGGATGTTGCATGCTGTTGGAAAGGAGATGTTGTTGGTGGAGTGGAGGTCTGCAGAGAGTTAGAGGAGGAGAAGAGAGGCAGCCGTAGCTGAAAGATGGGAGTCTTTTGCCCCACCCTTGTGCATGTGCTGTGTGTGTGGGTAGGTGTTGCGGCCGTAAGGCAGCGGCAGTAGCACTTTCGGTGTGGAAG